AAAGGGGACAGGCACTGCTAAAGGGGAACAGATGCTGCTAAAGGGGACAGGCACTGCTAAAGGGGCAAAGTCGCTGCTAAAGGAGACAGGCGCTACTAAAGGGGCACAGACACTGCTAAAGGGGAACAGACACTGCTAAAGGGGCACAGACACTGCTAAACGGGACAGACACTGCTAAAGGGGCACAGATGCTGCTAAACGGGAACAGATGCTGCTAAAGGGGGACAGACACTGCTGCCAGCTGTTAGCAATTCCCATTGGTGCCCTATTCCTGTGCTGTGGTGAAAATCACTCTCACATCGAATTCAGAAAGTTGTGGCTTCAAGTCCCAAACCAGAGGCTGAGGTGTGAAATGATGGAGACTGTGGGATTGCTGCGGTACAGGGAGCTGCTGTGTTTCTGAACAGTGATTAAACCAAGGCCCCTTCAACCCTCTCTAGTGGGCGTAAGGATTCTATTGCACTGTGTAAGAAAAAAGCAGGCAGTATGTCCTGGCCAGTATTTATTTATCCCTCAGCCACATTGCTGACTGTTGGGAGTTTGCTGTTCATAGATTACTTGCTGCATGTCCTAAATTAGAATGATGCCAGCCCTTCATTGACTGTAAAGTGATTTGGGATGTCCTATGGTTGTGAAAACCATTCTTATCTTTTATTCCTCGGGTCATGGGCATTGCGGGCAAGGCCCCTTGAACTGAGCGGTTTGCTTGGTTCATTTCCAAGGGCAGTTCAGAGTCGCCCACATTGCTGTGTGCCACAGGCAAGTGGTTGTGTGAATTGGATTGAATCCAGATTCCCTTATTGACAATAATGGATATCAGATACTTAACAAATCTAGCGACCGTTTAACAAGCGAATCTGCCAAAGTTCAGAGCTCTGAATTTGTCCAGAATTCCAGTTGAATAAATTTGGAGAGAAACGAAGAAAGGACTAACAGGTGAATCCTGCCCTTGATTTTATTTAATTTATTGTAGTCACATGTGCCTAAGTACAGTGAAAAGCTTTGTTTTGCGAGCAGCACAGGCAGATCATAGCAAACAAGGACATACAGATCATAGGGTGCTTAGACAGAGTGAGGCATACAAGGTTACACCGCACAGGAGGGGCACGAAGCAAGATCAACATTAGATTTGAGATTTAAAAGAACATTATTATTAGTAATTTTTACAGACTTAGAATTTAGGTTTAAAAGTGCGGAATGGTTTTAGGAAATGTGAGAATAAGATCTGCTGTAGATGTGCATTGCAAAATGTTGCCCTGTGTCAGCACCATCTTAGACCGCTGCCTGCTCATCCCATAATGAGGAAGTTAAGCTCTCTTCAGTTATTTGGTTGCTATGAGGGTCTTGCCTAAAAAACTCAAGTTAAATAATGTTGGAACTGCTTGTGAGTTTCCAAAGATTGGACTGATACTGAACATCACACAGTGATGTACCCACAACACACTCAGTACTGAAGAAGGGTCACTGGACTCGAAACATTACCTCTGCTTTCTCCCCACAGGTGCTGCCAGACTTGCAGAGTTTCTCCAGCAGTTTCTAATGTTGTAACATACAATGCTAACTTTTCAATCCAGATTTCTGCTAAAGAGCCACTAATGCTTTGAATAATTCTTAATTTCACTAAACCAATGCATCTTCTGTCAAGCACTCCATGTCTTCAAAAACAATGTGTCCTAACACAAAGGAGAGGCCGTAAAAAAATCCTGCAGACCTTCATATATTGATTGCATTTGATAAAATTGACATTTGTTTGTGTGATGTAAACAGTTTCATCATGTTAACGATGAGTAATGGAAGAGGCTTGTGCTGGAGAGGAGAGAGTCCCTGCCTCTCAGACAGAAGCTCCTGGTCCCACTCCAGGACTGGATGACCAAAGATATATTAATAGGAACATGCAAATTAGGAGACGCAGGCCATTCAGCCCCTTAATCCTGCACTACCATATGATAGTATCATAGCCACAATTCAACTTTCCTGCCAGCCCTTTGACTCTTGTGTTGGTCAACAATTCATCCAACTCTGCCTTAAAAAATATTCAAAGGCCTCCACTGCTTTCTAGGGAAGAGAGTTCCAAAGACTCCGAGAGGGAGCAAAATATTCTCATCTCAATTTTAAATGGGAGACCTGTGTTTTTTCCACTGTGTCCGCTAGGTCTAGTCTTCCTGCAAAGGGATACAACATTCCAGCAGCGAACCTGTCAAATCCCCTCAGGATCTTTGATGTTCCAGTAAAAGCAGGAGATTCTTGACAGTGACCATGTTTGACACAAAGTGGTGCCTCTCAGGCTACAGGCTTTAATGGCAGACTGGTGACCTGTTCCAGCACAGTCGCTACTGGAACAGACACAAGCATGAGATTCACTGGCCTCCTGTCTTACTAGAGAGGGGAAAGCTAAAGGTCAGTAACCAGTCTCAGGAATTAATACCCATTGCCCTAAGGTGGTGCGTGACCTTTGACTGAAGTGGGTCACTTTAGGGAGAGAGAACTCAGAGTCAAGCACACTGGAGTCCCAGAGCATTAGACTGAGTAAGAACAGCAGCTTTCCCTCCCTCAGGCAACATGAGTGAGCCAGCTGGCTTTTTCTAAGGAAAAAGAAAAATGTTGGCAATGATGAAGCAGAGGTGAGCTCATTGGTACAACGATGGTGGAAGGCGCTCTCGTGTCTAAGAATTTTCTGTCTGGAAGGGGAGCCAGAGACAGGCAAGCAGTTGGATTCCGTCTGCTACATGTTAGTGACATCCAGCAAATGTGAGGGTCTTAACCTGGGAAGGATGAGCAGAGGAGAATGGCAACAAGACCTGTAGGTCAGGCATGGCACCACAGCTTGGTAACAGCTCCAACAACAACAACAACAACAACAACAACAACTTACAGCCACACCTGATAACCATCTCACATCTGCCTCTCACAGTACAGGTTTAGGGGGAGTTTGTTCTACGTTATACCATCACCCAGCTGGATGGAATCCCCAGAACAGGAACGGTTCCATACAGTTGTACCTTGGCAGCCCCTGCTTCGGTTCCCAGTCAGTCTTCAACCAAATGCAGTTTAGTTACAGTTCCCTTAGTGACAGGATGCTCAATCAGAAATGCATCTGACCCCAAATCACTGAAAATAATGAGTTTTTGATGAGTGAAGACTATGTTGTCAACAACAGTAATTAAAACTGAAAGAACTTCAGATGCTGTAAATCAGGAACAAAAACAGAAATTGCTGGAAAAGCTCAGCAGGTCTGGCAGCATCTGTGAAGGAAAAAACAGAGTTAATGTTTCGGGTCCAGTGACCTTTCAGTTCTGAGGAAGGGTCACAGCCCTGAAACGTTAACTCTGATTTTCTCTTCACAGATGCTGCCAGACCTGCTGAGCTTTTCCAGCAACTTCTGTTTTTGTTCCTGTCAACAACAGTACCTGAGTAATTAACAATCACATATCCACGTGACACATTTGAGCTATTTATGTGCCTCTTCATCTCAATCCAGGGTGAAAGTCCACACTATACATGCTGTCTCTGGTTGGTTCCTAATCACCAGGGCTGAATTAGGAGGGCAACGGCGCAAACTTGGTTTATTGTCTTTTGAGTTTACGAAATTGAGGAGTGGCCTGACCAGGGTGTTCAAAATGGTAAAGGGGCACGATGGGGTGGACACAGAGAAACTGTTACCTCCGAGGGAGGAAATCAAGAATCAAAGGCCACAATCTTAAAATTACAGCCTCTCTGTTCAGGATTGAAATTGCGATCACACCGTGGGAAATCTGAAACTCTCTCCCTTTAAAGGCTTGGGATGTTAGTACTGGGATGTGTGGAGGGAGTTTCAAACTTAACAACAGTTATTTGTTCAGTAAGGATATTAAGGGATAGGGAGCTGGTTAGCTCAGTTGGATGGATGGCTGGTTTGTGACTCTAACCACAGGTTCAATTCCCGCAGCAGCTGAGATTTACTATAAAGGTCCTGCCTTCTGAACCTTACCCCTCACCTTATGACCCTCAGGTCAAACCCACAACTAATGGCCTCTCTCTAATGAGATAGAGTACTCTCTGGGAATGCAGTGACTTCCCTTAATCTTTGAGATTAGATTTTATTGTCATGTGTACTCAAGTACAGGGGACAGGAGTACAGTGAAAAGTGTACATTGTCACCACACGTACAGCACCATCCAAGGTACAAAGGTACCAAGGTACAAATTCTTAGTTACAGATGTACCAAACTAAATAAATAAGTTTAAAAGTTCAGCACAACAGTCTTCTTCGAATAAAAGTAGAAAAATAAAGAAGTTAAAAGGTCAAAGGGATATGGAGTAAAGATGGTAAACCTGCTTGAGATATGGATTGCCCTCCTAAGGTTTTGTGGGCACAGGGAGTGTGCACCTCTGGATCTCTGGAGTTGAAGTTCTGGGTTCAAATCCCACAGCAGGACTTGTTGACCACAGAAAGTACATCACAATGCAGTCAAACCAGTTGCTTATTAATGCTTCTGATTAAATCCTGTGATAGGAGAGGGAGATGCTTATCCAGAACTGATGCAACACAACTACCTCCCCACATTAACAGATTGCACATGCAGGTTGCTGTCATTCTCATTCTGAGACACTAACACTCACAGATTAGCCACAATCTAATGAAATGCTGTTACAGGCTTCTGGAGGGGAGAGGGCTGAATGGTCTGCTCCAGTTGTTATGTGACTTCACTTTGAACAAAGATATGAGAGCCATTTCAATGGAGGTGGACTGATCAAAATACATATAGCTACAGAACTGCATCCTCTTAATCTCAACAAATATCAATCGTAACATTTACACCAGAGAGATTATGCACAAATCTTAAGAACTTCTGTTATAGCATTAACTGCTTTTTCAAACATAGCTATTCATCCTTAATTGAAGAAGGTACCTCAATATGTTAGATCCCCGATTGTCATGATCCTGTTGAGCAAGGGGGTAGTCAATGGCCTAGTGGTATTATCGCTAGACTATTAAGCCAGAGATGCAGGTAAATGCATTGGGGACCAGGTTTCAAATCCTGCCATTGAGTTCAATAATAATCTGGAATTAAGAGTCTAATAATGACCATTACTGACTGTCAGGGAAACAACCCATCTGGTTCACTAATGTCCTTTAGGGAAGGAAATCTGCCAACTTTAGCTGGTCTGGCCCACATGTGACTCCAGACCCCCAGCAATGTGGTTTGCTCTTAAGATATTAGGGATGGGTGTTAAATGCTGGCCATACCAGTGATGTGCAAATCCCATGAATGAATCACAAATCCCTCAGTGCTAACCAGTACTTCTTTCTGCAAATGGTTTTGGTAGTTTTGTCAATGCAGCGTGGAGTGGAGGAACACAGCAGGCCAGGCAGCATCAGAGGAGCAAGAAAGTCGACGTTTCGGGTTTACACCGTTCATCAGGTAATTCTGCGGTGGTGGTACAAACCCAGAGCTGAGATTCCACACACAAAGTTCAGCGATATCTGGTTAGTCGTTGCTTAACACCAGAAAAAAACAACCATTCAAGACAGCAGACTGTATGCAGAGACCACCAGCTCATTTAGAATCAGAATCCTGAAATCAGGGGGCAGAAATGGTAGGTCAGAATGTAACAAGGTGAGAGGCTGAGGGAAGATATCATGATTTACAAACCCTCCCCCCATTATGATCAGAGTGTACACACCCCGCACTTACCCGGGCACTTGACATCCATGAAGTAGGAGTTTGGGCTTTGAACCAAACGTTTTTTCTTGTGCTGTCTCCGCTCTGCTTCTGGAGACGGGTTTAACAAATCCTTAGCCAACTGCAAATTGTAAGGGATAAGGAAAGTCAGCTTAATCTCAGTGACATACATGAAACTCACGGTGAATGGCGGGGGGGGTGGGGAAGGGGGGGAAAAGGGGATTGGGTGGTAAAATACTGGAGGAGGTATTACATGAGTTGGAATGATTACTATTCCAGTTGGTATCTATTTTCCAATAAATGCAAGGACTATTTTATGGGAACTCAAACATGCCTGAATTTTTCTTGAGAATATGATATTCCAGAAACAAAAACATTTCAGAACCTTGAGGATGTCCCAAAGCATTTTACTTACAGTACTTTTGAGCTGCAGCCAGTGGTATAAGGTAGGAAACACACAGACTATTTACACACAGCCAGATCCCACGAATATCAATGTGTTCCTCAGTGGGGAATCTGTTTTCATGAAGTCAGTTAAGACAAATATTGACCAGGGCACTAAGGAATCCCCCCGCCCAACCCCGCCTCCCCAAACTCCTGTTTGAGCCAGATTGCCAGTACACACTTACACTTAACACCCAGTGTTTTGTGACTGACAGCTCATCAGTTTCCAACCCCCTCAAGCCCCACCCCCACAATATAAACACTGTTTACGTAAATAACAAAGGAAAAGCAGACTATCCCACTGTCATTCCTCAACCCCCCAGCCCCAACTTGACTCCATTTTGTGTCACCTCGTAACAAGTTGGATGCTCTACCAGCGATGCCTACTTATGATCCAGGGAGACACTTGGAGAGACATCACCCATCAATGAAAATATGCAACACAGGACTGCTCAGGCGCACCTTCAGAATACTGTGACGGAGAGACACCTGAGATGGGCAAGACACATATTCCACTTCCTGACTGTATGTCCCACCAGGGATGACTACAAAATGGGCACTACCACATGGATGACCCGGCAAAGTGCGCTTAAGGAGGACCTTCAAGAACAGGGTATCCCCTTGGTTTGAGTGACTCAGACTGCAATGGACCTGGGCTGGAGCCATGCTACACATACACCAGACAAACTAAGTCTCAGCAAGCCATCACAAGAAATGTCAAAACTCTCGAACTCTAGAGTTCAAGGGAGCTGGGAAACATGTCAAGCTTTGCCACAAACTGTATCACCCAGTTTAATGAGCCTCATAGGATAATCAGCCTTGTGGTTACACAACACGGACAAATCTTTATAGAAGTCTTTAGAAACCTCAACAGCTGAAAAACATCAGCTCTCACTGTCCAAAAATGAAATTTATTGGCCAATAAACTTTCCACGACACAACTGCAGTGTCTGTGCTCTGATCCATGTTGAGTGGACACAAGGTACCCAACTGTTCGGTGCCCAGTGGCATACCAGGATATAGTTTCCTCACCACATACGGATTTTAGTTACTGCTCGTGTAATGTAGGTAGTTATTCGCTGTTTGTTCGCCTTACAATGCAAGCCTCTGGGCCACTTGCCCAATGATTCTCAGTTCTTATGATACGCAGTCAACTCAGTCTCAGCCCCATACAAAACAGGTTAAGTAATGTCAGAGAGTGAGCTCACACTCAAAGCACCTAGTGTCTGAGTAAGGTTTTGCAGCCAGGCTAATCTCGGATTGAGTCTGAGCCGACTTTCCCCCCTACATTTCACTTTGCTCCACCGTCAGTTCATGCCCAGATTCTGAAACCGTGATTATGCTCTAACTGCAGTGTGAAGGAAGACGTCACCTCACTCACGTGACAGCTGCACCTTTGATATAAATAGAAGTGATGGGCTTGGTTTCCAAACGCTAGCTCCACACTCGTGCAGCCAGGAGTTGGGTTTTCCACTCAGCAAGTGACTGCCCAACTGCATCCAACAATGGCACCCATCCAAAATGCGCACACATGCACGCGCGCACACACACACGGACGTGCACACACGCACGCGCACACACATGGACATACATGCGCACACGCGCACACACACAGACATACATGCGCACATGCACGCGCACACACACAGACGTGCACACACACACAGACATACATGCGCACGCCCACAGACACACACACACACAGACACGACATACATAGACACACACACACGTGACACACAGACACACACACACAAAACATACAGACACACACGTGACACACAGAAACACACACATACACACAAACATACACGACACACACACACGCGCACACACACACATCCACATACACACAAAAGCACACACACATGCGCGCACACACACATACACATACACACACAAGCACACACACAAGCACACACACGCGTGCGCGCACACACACATACACACACACAGGCAAACACACACGCGCGCGCACACACATACATACACACACATGCGTGCACACACACACACACACAGGCACACACATGCGTGCACACACACACACATACATACACGCACATACACACGCGCACACATACATGCGCACACGCACACACATACATACACGCACATACACACGCGCACACACACACATACATACATGCACATACACACGCGCACACACACATACACACGCGCACACACATACACACACATTCACACACACACATTCACACACGCACACACACGCGCACACACACATACATACACACACATTCACACACACGCACACACACATACATACACACACATTCACACACATACATACACACACACACGCGCGCACACACACATACATACACGCACACACACACATACATCCACACGCGCACACACACAATCACACGCGCACACACACATGCATGCACACACGCACACACACACGCATGCGCGCACACACACACGTGCGCACACACACACATACACTGACGCATACATATACATGCATATGCACACAGACACACCCACATATGTATATATTATGCACCTATAGACACATACATATGCACACACATACACAAACATATACATGCATGCACACACAGACACATATACACATATGCACGTACAGATACTCACCCATATATACACACACATGAATGATTTATTGTCACTTGCATTTTACAGTTAAAAATAAAGTGAAAAACTTCAACAGTCGCCACAATCCAGCGCCAGTTTGAATAGTTTAAGAATAAAAAGGATAAAATGTATAACTGGAAGAGAGTCCTCAGCCTGCACTGCCACACTCTTCCACTGCCTCACCACCACCGCCCACACTGGACCCACCAACGTAGGGGTCACCACTCTTTAGGCATCATCTCTTCACTGCTTAGCCCACATTGCCAACGCTGGTGCCAGGTCCAGTGCTGAACCCACACTTGCCCCACAACCAGGTGACCTCAGCTCTGCTGCCGCTTCAATGTTGCCAGGAGTCCCCACTCTGGGCCTACTGCGAGCAGGAATCCCTGGCTCTGCTGGCAGACCAGGCCTCTATTCGCCAGGAGCTCTGGCCACCCTCCTGCGAGATGTCACCTTGCCAGTGCCGCCAGCTTGAAAGGTCCGCTGCCGCCGCCACCACCATCCCTGAATGTCGGGAGGACGTCCCTGCTGCCGGTACCGTCTCCAGTCACTGTGACGAGCCTTATCTGCCAGCACCTCCAAGTGCCAGAAGGAGATGCCATGGCCCAATCGAGCTGCCACACCAATTTCACCAACTAACCCGCCGCCAAAGAATCCAAAGAAAACAATAGCCAAAGAAAAGAAATAGAAAAAAAGAAAGAATAAGAAAGAAAGCATGCGGGAGCTTACCATGCCTGGGCAAGAGCCCATATGTAGCTCTGCTATTCTGCCATCATCGTGATTCAGAAAATCGCACACAACGTTCCCTCAATCTCCTTTTTTCCAAGGAGAATGTTCCTCAACTTTGTCTGTGTGTGCATGCCCTCATGTATGCTTACATGTACATATGTGCATGTCTCTGTATGTATGTGTGCATGTGTGTTGTGTATGTTTGTGTCGATATGTGCAAATGTGTGTGGGTGTATGCACACACACATGGACATGGACATGCACCCACACACACGCACATATTGACACAAACATATACAAATGCACATGCACGCACCTATGTACATGTAAGCATACATGTGGGCGTGCACACACAAACAAAGCTGAGGAACATTCTCCTTGGAACAAAGGAGATCACGGGGAGGTGTAACAGAAGTGTGCAAGATTAAGACACGTTCTGATAAGATTAAAGAAATACTTCCATTAGCCAACAGTACAATGACTACGGGGCAGAAATTTCAGGTTTGATGCAAAATATAACAGGAGTGGCGAATATGATGCAGAAACCTTACTTTGTGGGTAGCAGTGAATTGGAACTTATTGCCTATGAGGGTGGTGGGTGCAGAGCTGATGAATCAGTTTTGAAAGGAAATAAACTTGCAAAGCTACGTGGATCAAGCCAGATTGCATTGCTCCATTGAGAACTAGCATTGACTTGATGGGCTGAACAGCCTATTCTGTTCCATTATCATTGGTATCCTTTCTTCATTCTATCATTGAGTGAATTGTTTGGACACTTAAGAGTTAACCACATTGCTGTTGGTCTGGAATCACATGAAGGCAAGACCAGCAGATTTCCTTCTCTGCAGGACATGAGTGAACCAGTTGGGTTTTTACAACAATTGAAGATAGCTTCATGGTCACTGTTAATGAGAATAGCTCTTCAATTCCAGATTTATTAATTGATTTTAAATTCCACACACAGTAGGATTTGAACACATTTCCCCAGAGTTTCAGCCTCTGGATTACTGATCCTGTGACAATACCATTGTCCCATCATGTCCCCTTAAGGTGGACGATCCATGTAAGAAGATGGACTTGCAGCAAATACAATCCACTGGGGACAGGATATCTACCCTCACTGAAGCTTGGAGAAAACAATCCAGGCTTTGCCTATAACAAAAGCTTTGCAGTGGGCTTATAACTCACTCAGAGATAGTAACAACTGTCGATGCTGGAGTCAGAGATAACACAGTGTGGAGCTGAAGAAGGGTCCCGACCCGAAACATCAACTTTCCTGCTCCTCTGATGCTGCCTGGCCTGCTGTGTTCCCCCAGCTCCACACTGTTATCTAGGTTATGAGGTGATATCTTGGGTTATTGTTTTCCATGTTGCCAAGCTGCTGTTGCTATGCATTGCCATGGTGACACAAGCTGGTCCAGACACCATGTCACTGTTTATCTCATCATTGGCTAGCGAGCCCCAGCTGTGACATGGAGACGGTGTGGGATAGCAAGCTCACCAGCATCCTTTTTGTAGAGCTTCGGTTATCCAACAAATTGATTAGGCTATCTCACTGGGCTGTAATATTCCTAGATATACCACCAGCTTCAAACCTGAGAATGTGTCTGAACTAGCGACGTCCCCTCTGCTTGCTGGGTGCCTACAGGCTTGTGATCTCTGCCTTTGAAAGGACTGAGCAACGTGTGCCTTTGTCCTCCCATGAGATGTCCCTGCTCGGCGGAGGGGAGGGGGGTGCTGCTGCTGGTTATATTACCCTTCCTAATTCAAGAAAAAAGTGGGTGACACAGTGGCTCAGTGGTTAGCACTGCTGCCCCACAGCACCAGGGACTTGGGTTCGATTCCACCCTCGGGCAGCTGTCTATGTGGTGTTTACGCATTCTCCCTGTGTCTGCGTGGGTTTCCTCTGGGTGCTCTGGTTTCCTCCCACAGTCCAACGATGTGCAGGTAAGGTGGATTGGCTATGCTAAATTGCCTAGACTAGGCTGGCCAGCCATGGGAAATACAGGGACAGGGTGGGATGCTCTCTGGAGGGTCAGTGCAGACTCGATGGGCTGAATGGTCTCCTCCTTTGCTGTGGGTTTCTACAATAATGGTGTAGTTGTAACATCGCTTGTTCATTAATATTGAGGCCATTGAAACCAGGTTAAATTCCATAAATAAATCCAGCTTACAAGGTGACTCCAGACCCACAGGAGCCTGGCTAACTCTGCCTTGCCACCAGTGCCCGCACTCCATAGAAGAATAAGGGGGGCGTGTTAGGGGAAACAATCCTTTCAGATCGAAATATTGCTTTTCAACCCTGGTAGCCAACATTCCCCTTCTCCACTTCTCCATCACCCAGAAGGCAAGATCAGCAGGCTTTAGCGGGATCTTGCTGTGCCTCCCCCCACACACACACACACCACCCCACTGCAGTGGCAACCCTATTCCACCAAACATCTAATCCAAACGAAAGAACTGCGGATGCTGTAAATCAGGGGGAAAAAACAGAAGTTGCTGGAAAAGCTCAGCAGGTCTGGCAGCATCTGCGAAGAAGAAAAAAAATCAAAGAGTTAACGTTTCGAGTCCGGCGACCCTTCCTCAAGGCATCAAATGTCTAAACCATTTGTCCCTGGCCTTTGCAGGCGGAGGAGAGAGGGGACGTCCCGAAGAAGGCGCTAACTAAATGCAAGTGCTAGAGGGGAAATTCACTGCTCAAAATAACCCGAGCTTCGGTGTTTGGAGGGGAATGTTTCTGGGATTTCCAAACCCGGGAGATCAAACACACATTCCCGGACTGAGTGGGTAGACATCGCCTATAAAATTGAGAAACGAGCAAAGGTTAGGGCACGTACCCAGCTAGCTGCATTTGAGTTTATTTTTCTGCAGAGCGCAGCCAGTGCTTAATTTCTGATAAAATCTTAAACTTTCTCTCTTTCCCCATCACTATTCAGGCACTAAAAATGTTAAGATGTCCCTTTTTGATGAGAGTAGGATGGCTCCAACACTTAATAGTTTTCCTGGGAGCTGTTGTGCTGGGGTATGGGGGAGGAGGCAGAATCCATGCTGAACTTTCCAGACACATGCCTGGTCTTGTTTTGAAATCGAGAGCTCATCGAACTGAAACGCACACTCCACAGATGTTCCCAGACCCGCTGCTGAGTATTTCCAGCCTGTTTTCGTTCCGTTTCACTTTCAGATCTTCGGTAATCCCCAATGTTTTGCCTCGCGCACTGTTTAACTTTCATTTTGACACGTGTTTAGAGTTCAGGTTTGTTGGGATTTGGGGAGGAAGGCATGGGAAATTGGGGGTGCGATTGAAAAAACCATGAAAACTTTGTTCTCTCCCCCCCCCCAAAAAAAAAACAACATTGCTCTAACTGGCTGTAGAAGCAGAAGGAAAATAATTTGCAATTCTCTCTGGCCCTGGGTATAAAAGACAGGCCTGTGCTCTGTGTCAGTTTCAATGTATCCGAGCGGCGCGCGTTACCTTGTGTCTGAAATGTATCGAGTGAAATGTAACTGGTACCAACTCACAGGCATGTCCGCCGGTGGGATCGGGTAGAATCAACTCTCCTCTCAAAACGATCAGCAAGATCACAGCCAACACACAAAACACACGCACACCGAACCTCCTCTGCCAGCCCAGAGAGCTGATGTAAACACGTGAAACTTCCGCTTCCTCTCATCCAAAGCAGTGATCGTAAAAGTGGGATCAGAAGTGAGGATTGTAAACTTGAGTCCTCATGAACGGAAGAATTGTGGTTATCTGTACCACGTTGAATCAACATAGTTAAAAAGTTACAGCGTCGACTCCTAGAAGTCTTTTTTTTTCTTTACAATTTTCTTCTTTAACAAGAATTAACATTCATAATTGTTTGTGATTTATAGAACAGGTCAGCACAGAAACATTCTAAATTAATCCCATCTGCCTGCACATGATTCATATTGCTCTATTCCCTGCCTTAAACTTTGCTAACTTATCTGCTTTTAACATCTCCCGTGGCAACACATCCCAGGCCATACCGCCGTCTGTGTAAAACTTCACTCACACATGTCCTTTACATTTTTTTCCTGTCCCACTTTAAACTTATGGCCCCCTCGTATTTGACATTTCCACCCTGGAAAAAACATTCGCAACTATCAACTCTATCCATGCCTCTCATAATTTTACTTCCATCAGATTGCGTCTTGGCCTGATTTCAAACAAAAATGTCCTTGGACCACTGATGTTTGCAAAAATTAATTAACATTTGTTTGGAAAGGGTACACTGGGAAAAAAAAATCAGGTTTATTAGATTCAGGAATGCAATTAATGCACAGAATTATTACAGGGCCAGAAAAAATGCCAATCAGCCCATTAACTGCAACTCAGTTCATGTCAGTAACTGCTTAATATAGAAGAACATGTCTCAGCCAGTCGGCTAGATAATTAAATGCTTCTGAAAGACCACTGAACAGCGCACATGACTCAAGTTAGGGCTCTCTAACGTGGGGTCTCAAATTAAAATTTTGGGGTTGTGAGATCAGAGGCAGAAACAGCCTCTGCAGAGGTCCTACTGAGTACTCCAACAGGCCCTGGATCTCTCAATTCTCTCTGAGTGAGCATAACAGATTTCAAGCCTTAAAAAAAACAAAGTTGCAGAGGGAAAAGTTTGGGAAGTGCTAATGGGGAAGCAGTGGTATAGTGGGAATGTGGCTGGTCTAGTAGAGTCATAGAGTTGTACATCATGGAAACAGACCCTTCGGTCCAACTAGTCCATGCCAACCAGATATCCTAAATTAATCTAGCTCCATTTACCAGCATTTGTCCCACATCCCTCTAAGCCCTTCCTATTCATGTACCCATCCAGATGCCTTTTGAATGTTGTAATTGTACCAGCCTCCACCACTTCCTCTGGCAGCTTATTCCATACACACACCACACTCTGCGTGAAAAGGTTATCCCTTAGGTCCCTTTTAAATCTTTCCCCTCTCACCTTAAACCATACCCTCTAGTTTTGGACTCCCCCTCCTTGGGGAAAAGACCTTGGCTATTTACCCCTTTCCATGCCCCTCATGATTTTATAAACCTCTGTAGCATCACCCCTCAGCCTCTGACACTCCAGAGAAAACAGCCCCAGCCTCTCCCTAAAGCTCAAACCTTCCAACCCTGGCAACATCCTTATAAATCTTTACTGGCTTGTGCTCTCTTTGGGGAACAAACATCAGAGAACTCTGGAGAAGCTCAGCAGATCTGGCAGCATCTGTGGAGAGAGTAACAGAATAGAAACAGAAAACAAAACTCTTAATCAATCCAGTCTCAAAACATTAACTCTGTTTCTTTCTCCAGAGGTGCTGCCAGAGCAGCTGAGTTTCTCCAGCATTCTCAGAGTGTGTCTCAGATTTCCAACATCTACAGCAGTTTTTTGCCTTTGTTCAAATGCTCTGGGGACATGGGTTTGAATCCCACCATGGCAGTTGGTGGAATTTGAATTCAATAAAAAGTTAGCCCAATAATGAACATGTAAGCACTAATGATTGTTGTAAAATCTTATCTGGTTCACTAATGGCTTTTAGACAAGAAAATCTGCCATCCTTGTCTCATCCATGTGTGACTCTTAGTTGCCGTTGGGGTGGGTAATAATTGCCAGTGATGCTATATTGAACTAAACATAAAATCAAACACTGGAGGTGCAGTATCTGCTAAGTCCCCTGTTTTGCTTTCTCCTACCTACCCTAATTCCCAATGCAACTTTTCCTAAATTATTCATTCATGATTCCAACATCAATTCCATCTCCAATCTCATTTTCCTCTCTAAAGTCCTTGCAGCCGCCATTGTCATTACCCATATCCATGCCTATCTTTCCCACAACTCCATGTTCGAATCCCTCCAGCTGCTGATTCACCCACATACTGAATGGCTCTTACCTGAGTTATAAGTGACATCCTATGTGACTGTGACAAAGGTACACTTTCCCTCCTCATCCTGTCTGTGCCTTTAATATGGTCACCACACTGTCCTCCTCCATTGCCTCCCCACTGTTATTCAATTGTTTGGAACCACACTCGCCGTTGTTAGATATCCAGTCATAACCAGATAATCACCTGTAAGGCTTCTCTTCACTAGCTCGCATTAGCCCTCTTCGTGTTTCCAAGGTTCCATCCTTGGCTTCCTCCTATTTCTTTTCTACATTCTGCCTCTTTTACTACATCATCTGAAATCATGGTGTTTGATTCTACATATATACAGCTGATGCTCTGCTCTACCTCATCACATCTGCTGTCTCTTTCATTGACTCTGATTTGATTGACAACTTGTCTGTTATCTAGCACTGGATGGGGAGAAATTCCCTCCAACCAAATATGAGAAGATTGAAACCATTACCGTCCATCCCTGTTACAAACTTCATTCCTGAGCCTCCATCTACATCCCTTTCCTGAGCAATTATGTGTGGCTGACCCAGAATCTTCGGAACACTGGTTTCTAATCCCTCCCAAGATGACCTTCCAACCAATTAACACTCAATCGCCAAGAACATATTTCTTTATTAATTTATTTATGCTTGTAATATGGATGGAATTGCATATAAAAGTAACGATGATCTGGTTCTGTTATACAGGGCATTTCTGAAACCATATAAAGTCACAGAGTCATACAGCATGGGAACCGACCCTATGGTCCAACCAGTCATAATCCCAAACTAAACTAGTCCCACCTGCCTGCTCCTGGCCCATATTACTCAAACCTTTCTTATTCATGTACTTACCCAAATGTCTTTTAAATATAATAACTGTACGTACATCCACCACTTCCTCAGGAAGTTCATTTCACATGCTCTGAGTGAAAATAAATCTCTCATGTCTTTTTTAAAACCCTCTTTCTCTCACCTTAAAAATGTGACCCCTAGTCTTGAAACCCCCACCCTCGGGAAAAGACAACTACCATTAACTCTATCTATACCTTTCACTATTTGATAAACTTCTATTAGGTCGCCTCTCAACCTCCTATGCTCCAGTGAAAAAAAGTCCCAGCTTATCCAGCCTTTCTTTATAACTCAAACCTTCCATAAATCGGCAACATCCTGGTAAATCACTTCTGAACCCTATCCAGCTTAATAATATCCTTCCTATAAATGGGTAACCAGACTGCACACAATACTCCAGAAGAGATCTCACCAATGTCCTGTACAAACCCAACATGACTTCCCAACTCCTATATATTTTTAAGAAAAGATGTAGATACATTGGTGGCAGTTCAGAAGATGTTTCATAGCTTCATACCTGGAATAAGTGGTGAAATGAGAATACCTGGAAAGGTTAAACAGACCGAACTTGTTTCCACTTCAGTTTAGAAGAGTGAGCAGTGACCAGATTGAAATGTATAAGATCCTGATTAGACTCGACAAGGTAGATGTAAAAATTATGTTTACTGTTGGTGGGTGAGTCCAAAACCAGGGGACACCCCTGTTTTAAAATCAGTGGTTGTCATTTAGGACTGAGATGAGGAGCATTTTATTTCCTCAGAGGCTGTGCAAATTTGGAACTCTCCGTTTCAGAAGGTGGTGGAACTGGGTAATTGAATATTTTTATCTGTTTAAGGGATGTGGCATCACTTGCAGGGCCAGCATTTACTGCCCATCCCTTATTGCCCTGTGGAAGGTGGTCCTGTTGAGATGCCCTCTCGAACTGCTGCAGTCCTTGGGATGTGGGAACACCCATTGTGCTGTGTAAGTTCTAAGCAACAATTTAAACTCAAGTCCGAAGATTAATTTGTTGTTTTGAGACTTTAACCAAAATATACCACAGGAAACAATCTGGTGCTGTAACTCAGGAAACTTCAATTATAAATAATACCTATTAAAGCAGGACCACGCCTTGATTGAGATGCTCAAATGCCAGCTTTCTGGTTCAATTTAAGGCATGAGTTGACATTTGGTGTCAGGTTTCTCACCAGCACTTCGAGGGTCTTTCACCTCCACTTGGATAACAGGATAACTTCACTTTCATTTGATGCGTGCTTTGACATAGAACATAGAACAGTGCAGCACAGTACACGCTCTTTGGTCCACAATGTTGTGCCAACTTATTATCTACCTCTAAGATCAAACTACCCTGCACACCCTACATTTTACTATCATCCATGTGCCTATCCAAGAGTCGCTTAAATGTCCCTCATGTATCGCTCTCCAATACCACTGCTGGCAGCGCATTCCACATACCCACCACTCTGTGTAAAGAACCTAACTCTGACATCTCCCCAATACCTTCCTCCAATCACCTTAAAATTATGTCCCCTCGCAATAGCCATTTCCACCCTGGGAAAAAGTCTCTGGCTATCCACTCTATCTATGCCTTAATCATCTTGAAAACCTCTGGCAAGTCACCTCTCATCCTTCTTCGCTCCAATGAAAAAAACCCTAGCTTCCTCAACCTTTCCTCATAAGACCAGCCCTCCAGTCCAGGCAGCATCCTGGTAAATCTCCTCTGCACCTTCTCTAAAGCTTCCACATCCTTCCAATAGTGAGGCGACCAGAACTGAACACAATATTCCAAGTGTGGTCTAACCACGGTTTTATAGAGCTGCAGCGTAACCTCGTGGCTCTTGAACTCAGTTCCCTTGCCGATGAAAGCCAACACACCATACACCTTCTGTACAACCCTATCAACTTGGGTGGCAACTTTGAGGAAT